AACCGGCCGGCCTATTGCCTTGTATGTTGCCAGCAACGTTTCTTTGTCTTTGCCCCAAGTACTGCCGGCTAGCGACTTGAGGACCTTGTTGCGGCTCTGTACTTTATTGACAATAGCGGTTGAGTGCGCAGAGAAGGAGAGCAGGCTGTCGAAAGTTACTCCGAGTATTTTGGGGTTATTCACCGTCGGAATTGGTGTGTCATCGACGTGAATCCCCAGCGGTAGCCTGACCTCCTTCGTCCAGGTTGTGAACAGGGTCGCGGAGGATTTCGTAGGGGAGAGGGCTAGGCACTTTGCAGTGAAGAAGCGAGAAAGTTCGGAGAGATAGCCGTTTACTTTCGAACACAGGTCATCAATTCCATTCCCAGTCGCCATAATCGAGCAATCGTCGGCATAGGAGACAATCGAGACTCCCTCTGGTGGTTGAGGGAGCTTTGAAATATAAAAGTTAAACAGTAGCGGGGAAAGGACACCACCCTGAGGAACCCCCTGTTTTATTTTTCGCTGCTTACTCGTTTTGTCTCTGAACATTACCGACGAATGTCGACCACTTAGATAATTTGCCGACCACCGTTTGAGCCTCTGTGGGAGAGAGGAGGCCTCTATATCTTCTAGTAGCGTGGAATGGCAGACGGTGTCAAACGCCTTTGACAAGTCCAACGCTACTAGAATCGTTCTCTCACAGGGACGGTTACGGTTAAGGCCACGAGTTATCTGAGTGTTTATGGCGTTAAGTGCTGTTGTTGTGCTGTGCACTTTACGGAAACCATGCTGATGCTTCGCTGGGGTCAGGTGATTTGTGAAGTACGGGAGTAGCAAGGCCTCGAGTGTCTTCGCTACCGGGGAAAGGAGTGTAATCGGACGATACGAATCTCCTTTGTTTGCAGGTTTCCCCGGTTTGAGCAGTGGGACCACTCTCCCCGCCTTCCAGATGTCTGGGATGATGAGAGTGGCCATTGACAAATTGAGGACCTCCGTTAGGTACGCTACCCCCGCAGGACCCAAATTTTTCAGCATCAGCATGCATATACCGTCGGGACCCATGTCTTTGGAGGCTTTCGCCTTCCCGATGGCCACCTGAACTTCACCGCAAGTGAAAGCAAGGGGGGCACAATTTGTTGGCAGTTTGTGCAGCCTTCTGGTCACTCGACGCTTGGCTTTGTCCACCGGAGGATGCAGTATGAACTGCCGGCTAAAATAGCTCGCGCATCGCTCCGGGTCCGACGAAGCATGGTCGCCGAAGGAAATTTCGACTCTGTCGTCGTGCTTCGTCGGATTAGACAGTGACCTCACGGTTGACCAAAGCTTGCTCACACCAGAGGTGAAGTTGCAAGTCTTCAGATGCTCCTCCCACTTCTTCCGCTTATGTACGTTTACAAGTTGCCGAATCTCCGCGTTGAGATCCCTGATACGGGGATCTCCGGGATCGGCCTGACGAAGGCTATCACGCTGGTTTGCTAAAACAGCCGCTTCGGCAGGGAAGTTTGGACGTGGGTCCGATATGCACCCTGCCGGTATGAAGCGGGCTGCAGCAGCAGTGATAGCCCTGCGGAACTTACGTTCACCGAGGTGGACGTCGGTTGGTGTGGGGAGCGATGTGAAGGTGTTTTCAGTAAACTCCGCGTAACCTTTCCAGTCAGCTTTAGGAAAGTTGACATAGGTCCGGTGTTTGGCGGAGGCAAAGTCGGTTGGTTTATCAATCGAGATGACTATGGGTAGATGGTCTGATGCTAGAGTCAGCATAGGTCGCCACGTTATGCTGTTTATCAGACCAGCGCTGACTATTGTGATGTCTGGCGAGCTACTGCAGTTACCCATAATCCTGGTGGGTGCGTCGTCGTTCATTGTGCAGAATGTCGAATCGTCTATCTGCTCAGCCAAGTCTGTTCCCCTACGATCGTTTGACAGGCTTGAGTGCCAAAGATCGTGGTGCGCATTAAAGTCACCTACTACCATACGGTTTTCACCTCTGAGGAGCGCACCTATATCAGGGTGATATCCTGCCGGGCAGCAGGTGACAGGGGGTATGTATATATTAAATATTTCGAGCTCGACATCGCCTGACCGGATAGCGATGCCCTGACATTCTAGGGTGGTATCCCTGCGGTCGATGTCTGCTTCGATAAGACGATACTGCACGGTGTGGTGCGTGATGAACGCTAAGCCACCACCATTATCTCGCTCGCGATCTCGACGGTGCACGTTGTACCCGGCACAATTCAACAGAGTTGAATTGCTGTGCAACTTCGTCTCTTGGACCGCAGCTATTAATATACCATGCCGACACATAAAGGCGGTTATCTCCTCAATCTTGCTCTGTAGCCCGTTACAGTTGAATTGGAGGAGCTTCATGTGGTTCGGGAGACGTGTTGTGATGTGGGGTGTGAGTGAGGTGTAAGTTCTTGCCGCCGTTGGCTGTGTGTGCTGCTGGGGTGATTGCCTCCCTGTGGTGGTATTGGGGGGCGTCGCAATTGATGCCAGCGACCGGGCAGCGCAACACGGGCCCTCGAAGTTCCCCGTCCAATCTCGCGTGGTGCGCAGACCTGAACATGCCCTAAAGTGGCACCAGCCAGGCAGGTGTTGCACTTGACTGATGTCACATTACGGAATATTCTGGTCTGACATACCGTGCAGATTGTAGGGGAACCAAGAGTTGTTGGCGACGGCGTGCGGGTGGTGGTGCGGTTGTGTGTGTTATGTGGTCTGTGGTGGCTGTGGTATGTTGTTGTGTTGTGACGACTGTGTGTGGTTGCTGTGTGAGTGTGTGGGGCTGCACGGGCGGACTATGGGTTGCCGTGGAGGCTGCTCTATTTGAGCAACAGGGGGCCACGTACGACGTGGTCCACTGTCTGTGAGTCCGTAGTCCCGAGCAGACCCTGAGGTGACTCCACCCCTCGCAGGCATTACACTTGACTGAGGTGGAGTTGTGGTGTAAACGTCTTCGGCATACACAGCAGGTGTATATTTCTGGCCCAGGGTTTGACTCGATGCCAGCCCTGAGTAGGAGAATGCGTAGTGAATGCTGCCCTATGGACGGACAACTTCTGAGATACTTCGCCGACCTAAACGGGGTTGGATGTGAATCCTATGAATTGATTTATGCAAAAAAAACGCCCAAAATGTTTTTTAGTTGATCGCACTTTAGATCAAGATGTGCGATATGTACATGTAACGACAAAATTTAACCTTCGAATTTTCAATTTGTAGTAGCTTAGTACCTAGATGAATTTGTCGTTACCTCTGTATTTGGTAAAAACTAAATTTCCTACTTTAATTTTTTAAAGTCGTTACAAATACAGAGGTAACGACAAATTCATCTAGGTACTAAGCTACTACAAATTGATAATTCGAAGGTTAAATTTTGAATCAGTTGATTACAAAAGCCGCTTCAACATATATCAGGTCCTACAACTTCCAGGCGCCATGCACTCCTCCCCAAAGTATATTTCATTTACATAACTAAAGCGTTGGCAGAACTATTTAAATTTAAACCAATAATAGTTTTTATACTATCTTAAGCCTCTTTAAAAAGATAAGAATATACAAGCCTAGTTTAATTACACTATAACAATAAAAGAAGGCTTACGACATTTCTTAAGTTTGCAGAATACCAGCGATTACTTTTAAGAATTTAATAATTCTTATCAATGGTTGAAAGCTTAACAATACAACTATAATACTCATGGAAATCACAAAGAAAATATAATATGCAGCAATAAAGATAACGCCAACGGATATTGATAAGTATTCGCAAGCAGGTAGTTGTTTATGACTTTACAAAAACACATACCCAAAGAAAGGATCTGTATAGCAATGCTCAAGTAGAGCGAACAACTCACCAACCTGATTGTCGATAGATTGCTTTTGTGAAATAATTTCGTAAGCGATTTATATTTATACATTTTATAATGGTATGTATATGGATATGTAAGCAACTATGTATGGATAATCACTCACATGCATATGCATTTATTACATGTACTACATTATCTACATATATGTACATACATATGTATTGGCAAGTACAATATCAGTTTCCTTCTACCGAATGCCTTAACAGCAAATAATCAGTCAGGCAGACATCAGAAAAGCAAGTAATAGGCACTTTCGAGTCCAACGAGTCATTGATAGTGCTCATATTAAGTTGGCGAAATGGAAACAATACAGTCACGTAGAAACACCCTCCAGCCGAGCTATCACCGGACATGCACTTTGCCCAGTTATATTTATGAGCTCAGGCAAGAGATAAGCTGCCCAAATGAAGGCACTGCATTTACATATACATACATACGTGTGCATGCAAATGAAGCGCTACAAAAGTAACCTCTAGCAAGCAAACAAACAAACAAGTTATTTAAATAGTGACTTCTAAATGCATATACGCTCCTTTACATACATATTTAAATGTACATATACGCTGGCCGACAACCGCAAAGGAATCTTGCCGCACACAAAGGTTCTATATACATAACTAGCATTTGCCCATTTCCTAAAGTTTTTCCGTTTTTAACGCCAGCGCCTTGTGCGGGTGTAATGGCCTCTACGTATATAAATGTACACGGCAGCAAGGCGTAACCAAAATTTTGCTATCCGCTAAGTTACCTTAACAAGTGAAAAGCAACACCTGGCCCTGCCTTTTTACCCCAACTCAAACATTTGGCTGACAATCCATGCGAGACGATGATTTCGACCAACTGACCAACTAACACTACATTTTGGCTAGGAAAATACAACACCACCTTACCTCGAATGCTAGTTGGAAGGTTAGTTCACCCTTCCTATTGCTATCCACAGCTTTTGCAAATGCATAGAGTAATAACTTTTTGCAGCTAAATTAAGGCAAAGGTCGCATTACATACACCAAACTGGCAAATACCAGCGTCCACTAGCTGTACAATATGGTTTCAAAGCGAAAACTAACTGGTGGCTAACTTTGGTTACGAGTATTGTACATATGTACATATGTATTTGCAATACATTCCAGTTTGATGAATACTTACACTCGAAATTCTTGCAGTACCTATATTGGTCTATGCGATTTATTGCATTATAGACGCTAACAATTTCAATAATTTATAGATCGGTTTGGTTTTTATGAACTTAGGTATGTATTTCTTTCTTTAACAAGTTGCACTATAGATTTTAAGTTTTTCCAATAATTAAACGCAGCGTAACACTTTTAACACAAACACGTGCCCTTCATTTCGTTGAAATGATTTCATGAAATTTTTAACTTTATTTTTTCACTATTTTCGTTCAGAAAAGTACAAAATTTTCACAACAATTTTTCAGTTTTTCGACCCGTGAACAACGCAGAAATTCTTTCGTTTCAACTTCTCTACTTCGTTTGACATTCGCAGTTTTTTGCTTCTCTTGTTATGACATATTCGTTAAATTGAACGAAAATGGGAATGGTTCGTTTAAAGCAGCAGAGGTGCATTTCTCTGGTCAAGGAAAAATGTTGTCCTAATAGGGCATCGCACGCTGCGATTTTACAAGCAACAAAAGTTGAATGCGAAGTTGAATGAGGAGTTGAAAGTGAAAAAGTTGTCATCCCTATTCAGACAATGCGATATTCGATTCAACACGAATTGTTATTTAGGGTTGGCTTTCCTTTATGGCCTTTTTGGAGAGGGAATGAACCGCCATTGACAAAATCGCAACCCCCGACCACCTAGGTTCCCTATGGTTCCCTAGGGACCCCTTAGAAAAATTGCCAAAAATCACCATTTTCATTTGCGTTTATTCGCTTGAAAAATGTTAAATATTCATTTGCACGATACATTTTTATATACACATTTTTATAAAACACCCAGTAACCAAAATAGACATCACTGGGGCGGCTGCCCCAGGTTTACCACACAGAAAGGGAATTCTGGCAAAGAAGGTAAATCTATAGATTTACGTTCTTTGGAATAACTCTTTAATGAATTAAAAATGTTAATTTCAGGTCTCTGATTACTATTATTGGCATCAAGACGCGTCGATTGATACCACTGGTTCCGCTAAAGTGCACTACCATGAACCAAAAAGATAAGATCACGCGGGCTGGAGATTAGCCCGTTAGAATCGCATTTAGGAAAAAAGTTGAACGATTTTGACATTAACCGTTTGTTTACATTTCTTCGTTGTTTACAATTTGGTGGTGGCTTTTTACTTCAATTTTCTTCATTTTCGCTTGTGACAACGTGTGTACACATAAGATAAAGAATAATTTAACACAACGGCATGATTTATAGAAGAATTTGCATAATAAAAATGATTTTTCATGCGTTCAACAATTTCGCGGTTTTCTCCGTTCTCTTCGTTGTTTACTTCTTACAACAAAGATGGCGTCGAGATTTCTGCAGCTAGAAAATAACTTTTTTCGTTCTTTCCTTCCCGCTTGATCTTGTGTCTTCGTTCATGGTGCACTACTACCTTATTCTGCTTTATCCTGAGTTTGTATTCCGCCCATAATAAATCCATGGAAACCAAACGTGAAAAGTGAACCTGTTCGGGGAAAATGAAACTCATGATAAGGCCTATTATTATTATTATTTATTTATTATAGAGACAAAGAAGGTAAATTTAGATTTACGTTCTTTGATAGAGATACGTTCTTAGTACTTATCAAACACATATTTTTTAAGCTCAATTAACCCGCTCCATAGCCAATCCTGCCCTACTGTGCAAGCGTCCAACAGCAGCTGTGTAAGTGCATTTTCATTCAAGAAATGCCGTGTTTTTGTTTACATCCGCCAAAATGACGGAATTGATAAATTTATTTAGCAAATTAAGTGAATTTTATGATCGTCAATTACTTTGGGAAAATATTGAAGAGATTTACGAAAAGGATGCTGAAACAGATCAAAATAAGAAGAAACAGCCTAGCGGCGAATCACAAGACTCCGATGAGGAACCGCTATCTACTTCGATCCCTAAATCTGGTATCATTAATCTTCCGTTCCTACGACGTGCGCTTAACGATCCTCAAGTGCTTGCCACGCTGCTAGAATTGAGTTCCACCATACGCAATTTACGCGGTGAAACAAGTGCCAGTTATGATAACACCTACGATTGCTGGGATGAAGTCGTGAAAGTGTCACCGCGTGATGCCTACCTCAGTTTCGTATATGCTTTAGCTGGTTTGCCGACATTGGATCCAGCGTCTGCTGCATATACAAAGTTGGCGCTTGCCGCTGTAAACACTTACTTTCTTTCGCTGACTATACCTGGCGCAAAGGGGTTTCACATTTTCGAACCGGAGGTAATAGCACATTGTCTACAAGTATTCACCATTATCGAGCGCATACAACAGCCAGATGTAGTGCGTCGCATGTCAAAACAGCAGCCTGTAGAGATTTGGATACGCTTTCATACATTATGCGATGATTTGAAATTGTTGCTAAGGTATGTGCACTTCAGTGATCACAAACCAACACGCGATTTGCTGCTAAAGAAGTTAATTGACATACTCTACATGAATCATGAACGAGGATATGCAAACGTGTGTAAGTAAAGATATTTATTATTTTTAATAACTTGAACAAAATGTGCGCAAGTTCCAGTTTTATTCGCAGTCGTTAATAATTAGGTTCATACAACATTTTAAAATATACCGTATGCAATACAAAAAAATTACAATATCGTCAAAGGCGTGTCGACTTTTTAGAGCATTTAGCCCATAGCGCGTTTCATAAACAAATTTTTGATCGGCAAAATACTGTCGGTCAACTGCAATCCCAAGCTGCGAAGCAAAACCACAGGCGTAAAAGTAGTCGAGTAAAGCGTGTGTAGTCCGTGTACGCCTACCATAATAGGTACGTTTTTCGCCAAACTTCGCTGTTCATATTTGACGAGATAGTGCTTGTCGCTAATTTTAGCGCCAGCATATGCCGCCTCGGCCACCACCGTAACCAGCTCACGCACATCGCTGTAGCCCAAATTCACACCTTGTCCTGCTAACGGATGCACGCGATGTGCGGCATCGCCAATTAAAGCGGCACCAGTGCACACATACGAAGCGGCATGTAGAAATCCCAATGGAAATGAAGCACGCGATTTTTCTATGACGCCATTTACGCCTGGAGGATACTGCCTTATCATATTGGGATTACGACCAATGAGTGAATTCAAAGTATTCATTGCATTAACAACAACGCCTTCCTTGGGATATTCCTTAAAGAAAGCTTCATTGAGTGCCTTCGCGAAATCTGCATCAGGCATGTCCAACAACTGCTTTGCGTGCGGTATAGTTGTGCTCCACACAACCGAACTCAGGGTCTCACTTAATGGTAATAAGGCCACAGGACCGGTGGGTAGGAAACGTTGCCAGGCCACAGCATTATCGCATGCATCTTCCAGCTTTACTGTGGCTACGACACCACGCCGCTCATAGTCATATGTGAATAAATCAATATTCATTTGCTTGCGGACCAACGAATTTGCGCCATCGGCACCAATTAGCAGTTCACATGTTAATGTTTGTCCGTCTTTGAGGTGTACTTGTGAGTATTTTTCGCCGGTATCCACTGACAAGCGCAAACCCTCAATTCTTGCATTATTGCGCACCTGCACATTCGGTGCACTTTTGCCATCAGACAATTGTGCATACATTGCGTCCAACATAAGATCGTTTTCGACAATGCACGCTACGTCATCTGAGTAGTGTTCATCTTGAAATTGTATCAATGCATCACTGCATGCATCCCATACTTGCATTTGTTTGACATGCTTAACCCGACGCTCTTGCATATAGTCCCAGGCATCGATTGACTTGAAAAGTTCCACGCTGTTGTTGTTAATGGCCGATACACGATTGCCATATTGGGATTCAATGTTGAAGCCTTTGAATGGTGGCGCACCTTCCAGCAATAAAATGCGTTTATCGCTGAGCACCTTGTTTTTGGCGAGTGCTACAGCCAGCGTAGTGCCAACTAGTCCGCCACCTCCAATTATAATATCAAAATGTTCTGTTGAGGATTTAGACTTTTGTGCATCGGTGTCGGTGTAACTTTTTGAACTGAGGCTGAGGCCACGCACTGCAGTAAGGCGTTGGAAAACCAACCGCAAATGGCGCGCGCCAGTAACGTTTATTAGGGCGGACATTCTATGGTTTTTCACCCTAATGAAAGATATAGTTTTCGAATTATCTAATAATTTGGTAAAATATTCGTATTAATTTTTACCTTTCACAGTATTTTTCGCCCTTTGATATTTGCTTTTTTTAAATTTCTTTCGTTTGTTTAGAATGAAGTCAGTGAAACAGCTGTTTTGCGCACAGGGTTGCATGAGTTAAGAAGAGATTTTTCTTAGGTGATAAAAGGAAATAAAAACTGTTCCCACTCGTTATATCCAATTTCGCACATCCGGTTGTCGATAGGAAGCAACGTTGATTTTTTTCTTTAAACTCCGCTAAGCAAACTCTTCCTTTTCCTTGCAGATGCTGCAAACCTACACGCCAAGTGTTTCGAAATTTTCGAGGAAATAGTAAATGCTCATAATGGCGAACCAGAAGAAACACTCATGAAGCTAATGAACATGACTGTCTTCGTACATACCTACGCGCCAAAACCGAAGAGCTCCTACGGCGCAAGCATTAGCGGCGACTGCGAGCACATTTCTGATTGGTTTATTAAATGTATTTCCAAATATCCACGAATTCTTGTCAAAGTGCTGAGTTTCTACATTGAATGTATTGTAACCAATCCGATCAAATCATGGAAAACAGAGCAAACACAGCGTGCACTTGAATATGCTGCAAAATATGATGCAGCGCTATTCACTAAGTGCAATGAGTCAACAGTGGAATTTCTCTGCGATGCCGTCTATGCAGATGAAGTGATGATACGCTCCCGCGCCATTGATTTGATGTCGCGCATTTTGCAGCTAGAGTCACAAGTTGATTGGCAAATGTTTCGCCATGAAATATCGGACATACCGCGCGAAGTGCATCTCATAAATGAGCTTATAAAAAGTCTGCAAGACTGTAATAATACAATTAAATTAAAGGCAGTGCAAGCATTACATATATCACTAACTAAAGGTTCTCCCAACACCCTGAAAATACTTACTGAGGGCATACGCTATACACAGTATCACGACGTGGGCGTTGTGCTGCCAGACGAGCCGCGCGTAACCAAAAATGAAATACGTTACGAGAAGCCCACGGCATTGGATCCAAAATTTAGCTACACAGGGCATGGTTTGGTTGAGTTAGCGTTCTTACATTTGCCAGAATATGTGTACAAAAATCTCTTTCAAAGTCCACAATCGTATATGAGACGTGCGGGTGTGATGTTTATGGAGCAGTTGGTGAAACTGAATCCTTTAATAATCTTCAATACAAACTTTGTAGCGGAAACGACGCGTTTGGTGGATGAACCCACAGCCTTAGTGCGTAAACAAACTCTGCTCACCATCGATGGCATACTTGGTTGCTATCCAAATTGTTATGCAGTAATATGGGTGTGGTGTAAAATTGTTGCGCCCATGTTACGAGACGCCGATCCCAAGAATGTGGAATTGGCTATGGATGTAAGTGGTGTATGATAATGAATAGTTACATATTCGTGTAATATTTTGGCTTTATCTTTGCAGTGTTTTCGTTCACGCGTACTAGTAAATATGCGTGGCATTGATCAATCAAATCAAGCAGAGCACTTTATGCCATGGGTTATCATACGCACGATGCTGTCAACGCAGCCGCGTCTATATTTGCAGATGTGCTTCCACATGGCGCTGCAGCAGCGAATGCTTAAGTAAGTGTAGAAAAAGTGGTTGGAAATAGAACCTATCAACGATAGCATTTCATTCTAGCCCGCAAATGGTCAGCATAATCGAATCTCACCTACTAACTTCAAATTCCACTGAAGCCTGGATTGTACTCAATTTCATTTCAGGCAAAATAAAGAGTAAGGAGCCGGATGCCCTGGTGCATCTCTTCACGTCATTGAAATCGGTATTATTTCAACCTTAATAAATGTACTTCAGAAAATATTCGTTTTTAATTTATACACTTTTCATTTATCTACTCCAACAGTGGAACAAGGAGCAAAATATGCTTATCGCTTTGGAAGTGCTTGCCAATTGTATACAGGATTTCTCCCATTCAGCACTCAATCATGCATTTACGCATATACTCAGTCAAATTCAAGAAGGTCAAATGATACCCGTACTCATTGGCAAGGCATTTGACCTTCTCATACACATTGATAACTGCTCACAATCTCAGGCATGCAAAAGTAGCAACGCAACGACCAATCCACTTGAGTTAACTGAAAAGGCTTGGCTATTGGAATTGCATGATTTACTAGAGTTGCGCATACTCTCCGGCATCGCTGATTTTCCTGACAATCGCACTACATTTATGTCACACCTTTACTCTTACTCGGAAGTCAACTTGCAGACACGCTTGCGACCGCACCGCACTATTGTTTCCTTCATACACAAATACATGAGCGTGTGCTCGAAACTGCCTGAGTGCGAGTTGGATTTGGAAAATGAGCGTCTCTTCAATTCAATGATTTTGATTGCAGGCCGCTTCTCGCTGCGCGATGCTGTAACGGCCAGCACTAGTTGTACGCTTTACGGCGCAATTTTGAAAGTAATCGATCGTCCGCCAATTGTGAATACAATAATTGTTTCCCTTACGGATTTATGTAAGAAACACACACAGATAGTCGAACGTATTATAGAGCATGTGCTAGCGAAATTGGCCTCGCCATACTTAGTCAATCGCATAGAGACATTCAAATGTTTTGAGAAGCTAGTACTGCAGGATCAAATAAAGTTACGCGGTTCGCTTCTATTGGCGCTTATGTCTACAATTTTGGACGATAATGTAGAATTAGCAATGCGTGCGTGCGAGTTTTTTGCTGAATACCTCAGCAAAAAGAATGCCACGCTCTTTCAGAAATGCCTGGTCGAATGCCCATTCGTTTTTAATGAGTATGAGGTAGGTTAGCGGTTATTGAATGTCTATTCGAATTGCTTAATTTACTAACTGCTTGGCAGGATTTTGATGGTTTAGATAGTTTTTCGGATACGCGCATAAAGTCGCCATTGAAGGGTGAGGAAAAGCGCAAAAGTCGGCAATTGCTATATAATCATTTGATGGCATCGGTGGATCAAGTAAATTTGGTGCTGTATTTCGGGCAACTAAAGCTTATTTGTGGTAAGAAAAATAATGGCCAAAATAGAATCATAAAAATTGAAGTTCATAAGAACAGACTTAAAATATTTATTCAAAATAATCTGCATACCCTAAATATTTCTATGCTACTTGTTTGCATCAACCCGACTTTCAGAAAAATCACAACGCGACTCAAGCATGAAAAGCGCAGAGGGTATCGCTTTGATCAAAGATGTACTTTTCATTCTGAAACGTGTCTGCCAGCTGGCGAAAGAACAAAAACCGAGCGCAGAGAATAAAGATGACGATGAAGAAAATACCAAAACTGATGATGCACTTACAGAGGCTAACGAAGCAGCAGCCTCAGAGCAGCCATCCACTGGAAAGTCTACCACAAATACTGCTACAAGCAGCACAGGACGTGGGCGTGGACGGCGCAGAGCTATTGTCACGATGCCTGATGCGGTACAGCAACTTATAATATACATTAAATGCTCTTTTATTTACTATTATATTTTCCTTTGTCCACAGCTAGTTCTCCTCGAGAAGTCTTTGATTTTTATACCCACCATCTACGGCTGTTTCACTGCCCAGATGACAGATGATGACTCGTTGCAAAAAGCGTTCGATGATTTGGGTTTTGCACTAGCAAAGCGATTTCCCAATCTAGTGCAATACGCACAGCCAGCAGCGTTTTGGAAAAAGTATAGCAATAAAATCGTAACACCGGTTAAACAAAATAAGAAAAACAAAAAAGCTAAGGGAAAATCCACAAGTAAAGCGCCTGAGAAGGCTCAAGCTAACTCAACACAAATTGATGAAGCTGTCAATTCAACTGAGAATGATGTAGATGCTGATGACGATATGGGGTTCGGCGATTCATTGTCAGAAAGTGATCATTGCTCTGATGATGATTTGCCATTGGCAAGCAGTAAGCGTGACGATGGCGCATCACCACAAAAACGGCCGCGTTTAAGCGATGCCGAATTGCCAATGGAATATTTGTTCAATCCGAATATTTGAGAATTACAGCAGTGTCCTGGTACAAGCACCAAGACCGGGACACTGAGTAGCGTTAGTGATGTTAAGTGTTTTGACGTATAGAATAGAATAGATTTTCTTATAGAGGATGTGCGCTGCGACAAAACGTCCTGTAATGAAACCAAGCAGTTTCGAGGGCGGAAGGGTCCTTCCTTTCAGTTAGTAAGTCTTCTTTTCGCAACCGCATGGTTTTCTAAAAGGAGATGCGATATGGTTTCTTCTGCCATGTCGCAGTAATAATAGGAGGATGTTCATATAAATCTTAGGTTTGTCGTTGTGACGAATAACAATATAAATTTTTATATTTAGACTGACACTGGAATATGTATGTATGTATCTATTTATCAAAAGTGGTACCTTACTCAAAACGATATCATAGCCGCTACTTAGATCTACTAAATCCCGCATTTATACTATGATTAAGTTTGGTGTTTTTTTGTTTTTTTTTTTGTTGCTTATTTGAAGTAATACAAATGACTCGAATAGTGTATTAGGTGACTTATATTTTAAAATTTAACTTGTACATACATTCTTACAGGTGTGTGCATTTATACAGTAAAATTGTTAGATATTAACTATGTTTGTATAAAATCTATTCGGTGTATTCTGATACGACTATTCGTTAATAAGTAAGGTCAATTTGATGTACGCTAATTTGATGTGTGTATGTTATATTGAAATGCTTACGTAAAGCATGCTAGAATTATTAAAACAAATATAAGACTAGACAGATATATGCTCTACTTACTAATGAGGGTATAAAATAGTGATTTGCACGAAAATCTACGGTTTGGCCGTAGGCACGGCTTCTCAATATCGCTGAATGCTGTCGAAGGGCTGTACTCTCTGTTTCTTGAATATCAGTGATTAATTAGTGATCAGGTATGCAACAAAGGATAATAATAATGCCAAAGAAAAATACTGATGACCCGAACTCAGCGAATAGAGTTGAAAAATAAGCTGGAAATCAAATTCAGGAGTGGAAGAAAGCCTTTAAACGACGTTTTACTCAATTCAAGGTAAGATAAATGTTATTGACAACATACATATGTATAAGGCAACTCGCGGTCTGCTTTAAATTATGCCACGTCAGTTTTTTCAAGATAACTATGTAGCTGTGAAAGAAGATCGCCTGAGTTCTACTAAAAAAAATCATTGAAATCAGCAGTCTATTAGTTAGCGCTGCCAGACAACTGATGAATTGATAATTGAGCTTAGCGTCAATGATAGAAAAGTTATCCGAACTAGGCGTACCAACAATTTACTGATCACTTATCTCCTCCGATTTTTACTCGACTATGCAATTACCGTGTAACATGAGAAAACTCGTGCGAGATGCACTAACTAGCACTTGTGTAGCTTTGAGTCATGGCAAAAAGAAAAAGCTTTATTGGGGCAATTTCGACGTACTGGTTTTAAGGTTCCACTGAAGATTACAGCATTTGTTCACCATGAGGTTCAGCCGCTAGAAGGTGTCTGCCTTGAAGCAAATTTCTCGATTTGACTATGATTTGAGGGCATGTATCTTAATATGGAGGGTGCCTTTGCATAGGTGATTGATGTCTTCGGGAATACTAAGGCTGACGTCACCGCTATTCAAGAAATGCGATCGCCATGAGCGATGAGGCACATTATCACCTAAACGGAAAACCAAAACTGCCACATTTGTGGTATTGAAAATCCAAATGTAATTCAAGAATAAAATCTGCGGTCCTATAGAATCATCCTCTATATTTTTAGCGAAAATGTTCCGTTGCATCGAAACTCTGACCTGTCGAAACAGGGTTATTTTTGTTTATGTATTGGATAAACCATGCCAAGTGTATTGAGCAAAGTATCCACTTTATTTATTTCAAAATAACGCTGTGACCACCTTAAACTTCTAACTTTATTTCGAAATATTTCCAAAATTAATTTCCTCTGAAACCCACATGAAACACCCTTTATTACTGTGCTTTAATAACTGTGTCATGTACATACTTACATATGTCTAATTCTATTTAGGCGCCCTCAACTATTTTCGAACCAAAAATTTTCCACGCTCGATTTCACATGCCTTTAATTCGCCAAATGCCGCCGCATACGATGCGTATTTGTAACACTTCCAACTAGCCAATATTTACCTTTCCGCAATGCTCCAGCTGCCCACTTTCGTCGTCCACATACCATGAGTAACGGCACATTGAAGACGCTGCCGGTTTGTAACACAATACGATAGACCACTTGCACGTTGCAGAAGCGAACATAAATGAAAACAGAAGTAGAAATACCAGACTAATTAGATTAAATGGTATTTTCCATGTCAAGTTCTACCAAACAAAAAAAAATTGAGTGCAATGTATTGGGATTGCAAAGCGAATTCGAATCAGTACGAAATGGACTTTACTTAGAGGCGCGCGCGCTAGAACGAAACACCGTTGGGAGACCAATTGTCAATAACCTCAAGTGCATTATATAAATATTTAGTCCCATTAGTGTGGAAATTTTTGAAAAATTAGAATGAATAACAGCGAATATGGCTTTGAGGTGCATCGAAAATCATACGAGTTTGAGTCGAACTTCGAACATGACTCGAAATTAAGTCCCGATAATTACGAAAGCGCGAGTGAAAATTTACTAACCGATTATGAAATTGTGAGCAACGAGGAGGCTGACGAAGACGAAGATATCGAGTTGTCCTATCGAAAATTACGTTGCGAGAAAACTGAAATTCCTGAGTTTCCAAAAACTTTTCATCCAAGCGTAAGTAGTGAACGTGAGCGTGGCAAATTGCAATTAAGTTTGAGCACAGAAAAAATATCGTTAAAATCACAGTCGCGAAAAATCGATAAAACAAACACGTCGCGAGAAACAGAAATTGCGCAGCAGCAGCAGCAGCAAAAGGCCAACGAGCGGGGCGCACTCAATACGAATGCGGCAAGCGCTAGTGGATTTTGTCCACGGCATAGTAGGCGTCAGCAAACACAGCACCAGCAACAGTTGGAGAAAACCAAACCAAAACAATATGCGCCGCTAAATTTCACAATAGTGCCGATAAATGTGGCGACACAAAAGGGCGGCGCAAGCGGGTTTAAACGTTTTGAAGATGGGCGCGATCTGCCGGAAATCGTGCTAACGTCCTTCGATCAACAGCAACAGCAGAAACAAAAGTGGTTGGTGGCAGAGGGAGCGCAGAATATGCCGGTAGCGTCAGCAGTGGAAGCGGTCGCAACGCCAAGGCGCGAAATAGCAGCGGCAAGTGCTTATACGCCGACTCAAGGCAGCAGCAGCAGAGAACCTTTGGAGCAAAAACAACAACAATATCGTAGCGCAACGTTAACAAAAGTGCCAATGGCGACTGCCAATCCGCCCACACCACCACCGCTGCCGCCGCCTCCAGCGTCGCTTTTACCATCTCTAACATCCTCAACGACGAGTGCGACTGCCAACAAAAAAGTCAAAAAAGTTACACGATTTTCGCGCGCGCCCGAGTTCACCAACGACCACTTTGAGCTGGTACCAGCTTTAACGCCAAAAGCACCATCGACAACACCACCAACAATAACAAACGCGGCAGGCGCCCCACCAACCGCAGCAGCAGCAGCAAATAAATTACCGGATGCGGAGGATACGAGTATAAGTGAAATTAATTCACAACCTGGTAGCTCTACCTCGCCGGAATCGCTAATGGATAATGTGCTAAGTGCGGCGTCATCGGTGTCGATACGGAGTAGTAGCCTGAGCAGTGGTGGTGGCAGCGGTAGTGGCGGCGGCGGCGGCAGTGAAATGCTAAAAATTGTTAATGCCAGAGGGCGCGGTAATGTGACGCGTAATATGCCACATGTTGCTGCTGGTGAAGCAATGCCTAAAGAACACCAACGACAACAAGTAGCAACACAAATAAAGGAATTGAACGATAATCGCTCATTGAACTTAAAATCGCCCACATCGAGAGGCTTGTCACCAATGCCGCAGCCAGCAGCTGGGAAGCAAAATGCACTCACACCTATTCTAACACCACAAATGTTGTCACCAGCGCGTACTTTGACGCCCTCCCCTTCCACTGTGATGGCGTTGGGCGGCGCAGCGTCGCCGCGCTTGAGTGAAGCGCGCGCACTGCAGCCAACCGAACTCATCGAAGCGTCGTCAGCAAATCGTTCAAGGTGCGTTGGTACGCATACACTTCACTGGGTATGCTATTTCACGTGCGCGAAGCCGGGATCAAAGGGACTATACTCGCAGACATGATAAAGAATGATGTTAGGAAATGGTTGGCGGGGAATTGTGCTAATGAGCTAAATACATACGAAATAGCAATGTGAACCATTTGCAACAGTGTGTTTTGCGTGCGCGTAGTCAAATGAATGAATGCTTTGTACGGTTTTGCATTACCTTGAACTCTAGAGAGATGAATAACACTGTGGGTGAGCCAAAAAAAAAGCCACGAATGCGGTATGAAATTATTATGAAATATAAGGAGTTCTATAATATTGGACCACCAGTTGTTTTGGCTCTAAACGTCACAATTTTTTTGATGTGTAAATATCTTATCTCGAGACCTTTTCGGGTGTAGTTCAAGCGATTTCAGGACCTTTTCGGGTGTAGTTCAAGGCTATTTCAGAGCCATTTCGGGCTAGTTCCTATCCAGTTAGGAACATTTCTGGCCTAGTTCGGGATCATATAGGGAATACTGCATTATTTGAGGCCCATTTTGGGACTAGTTCTGGACCAATTTGTTACTAGTTCGGGACTATTCAGGTACATTTTAGGGTTAGTTCTGGATAATTTTGGTTTTAGTTCAGGACCTAATCAGCCCTCAGTTTAGTGATACTTTGCGACTAGTTCGGGATAATTTTAGGACTAATAAGGAACCGTTTGGGGATCATTTCAATACTTGTTCGGGATAATTTGGGGACGTTTTCAGGACCATTTATAGACTCTTTGAGAACCATTTTGGCACTATTTTCGGGACTAGTTCGAACCGGTTCCGGTGCTCAAGAAAGTGGTAATGTAAATGCATAGACCCTTTCGAAATAGCTTAAAAAAAATTGTTTAAAAAGTTTTTACAAAAATTCAATTCCTTTTTATATTTTTGTATAAAGTAAAGCAAAGAAAATAAATAAATACATACATATATCACACTCATTCCTTAGTCTATATTTGGGTTAGAAAAATTTTATAAAGTAAAATACAAGAAATTAAATTCAAATAGGCGTTTTATACGTTAGTATTTAATTTTAAAAATATTTGTTTCGATTTAAAAACATGATTTTTTCCATGTTTCCGTTGCTCTTTTGATGCATTCAAATCGCAGCTGGCGGCGACAGATCAAAGAAGTTGATGTAAGTCGAGCAGATCGGGCATATGGCGGATATGTGATAAAGTGCCCCGAACCGAGCAAAATTTGTTGGGTCAACTTATCCGCCATTTTCTGTTAGCGACCATCTTGGATTATTAATTTTTTCATAGTGTACTGTAATCAGGTCAAGCCTTTTATTTTATACCCATATTGAGAGGGTTGTGAAAAACTATGTAATCTACCATTTTGGGGCGGCGGCCATCTTGGATTTACTGAATATACATAATTATATTGTCGTCAGATAAATAGCTAAACAGGAAGGGGACAAATTTCAATTACCACTAGATTATACACAAACAAGGGTCGAAACGACCCACACGAGTCAGAAATAGTGGGTTAAAATATTCCACAAAAATATGCGCCATTAAATTTTACTTTAGACCTTTAAAAACAAGATTAATGGTAAATGTAGTTTTACATGAGATTACTCAAATGATTTAGTTCTACTAGAGACTAAATGAGGAAAACTTCAATAGTTACACTGTAAAAAAAAAAAATCCGTTTACGGACAAGATGGCAGGTGGTAAAATATTCTAGAGCTCTTCCTCTTTCATAATTGCCATACAGAATTCGAGTATTTTTTGTATTGGTCGCATTTAGATACACAGTGTAATAATTTGGCTATCAGTGATCGTTTGCTATGAATGCTCTACTCTCTCAACCCCATACTAAAATTTGCAATTCATTTAACCCTTTTAAAGACACAAGGGTCTAATATACACATTATGAGAAAAGGAGGAGAATTTTTTTTAACCAATCCCTCTTTTTGTTCTATCCAGAAGTCCATCGCCGAGCCCCAGTGTTTCGATTCGTGTCACACAGGACACCTCATTATTCTCCGATGATTTAAAATGTCGTATTTGCAACGACATCTTTCGTGATCCACGCACCTTGAACTGCTTACATTCGTTCTGTTTCCAATGCTTGGTTGATGAGAACTTCAAGCAGGATTCAAGCATACCATTCTGGTCGCAACCTGGCGCGGACGAGCACGATTGGAAGGGTGAGTAAATAACTATATTTTGGTAATTTCCGTTAGACTAAGAATCATAGCCTTAAAATCACATCAAATAAGTATATATAGCAAAAAACGTGGGTTGCCCAGAACGAAACTTCGCGGGTTGCTGATGTCAGTCCCGGGAAACTTCACAGGACTGGCTAGCTAAAAGTGTGATTGGTCGGCAGCCAGACAAAAGATTACCAGCTTGAGAGAAAAGGGTTGGATGATTCCACCTTATCTTACTTTAAATAGATGCGACGCAAAGTCGGAAGTGTAAACGTTTACGTTCTTTGTCGATGTTACACACATTTGCGCAAACAATCAACTAAGTTAAAAAACATTTACCAAAAAAAAAAACTAAAATTATTTTATGATTACAAAAAAAACAACAACTTATTGAGAATAAAAATATAAGGAAAATAAGTAATTTTTAGAGAAAAAAATATTTGGAGAAAAAACTGTTTTCTTTTTTAAATTTGTTTAAGAAATTTTTTTTAAAGAAAATGATGTTTATCAAAATTATAAAAGCTTATGTATGAAAAAAATTATTTGTGGGCAAAAAATTATTTCTTTGGGGAAAAACAATATTTGAAAATAAAAATTGTGGAAAAATAATTTAAAAAAAAAAATACAATAATAGCTTTGGTAAAATTAGGTTTTAGTTGAAATTAATGAAAATTTTTTGGAAAAAATTACTTTTTACATTGAATTTGAAATTTTTTTTTATTTAGCTCCGAGGAATAACATTTTACAATTGAAATCATTAGTTGTTTGATTATAGGCTTATGGTCCTGAGAGGGTTAACGTGGGGAAATAACGGCTTGCTTTGTTCAGCCTGCACTGGTACCTCAAATCTTTTGTGTAGCAGAAATCATAATTATTTTTTTTCCCACATTATTCCATTTCCAAAAACGCTCGATTTAACAATTCGGAAGAATGCTGTTTTCTATGTTAATTTATTGATTTTTTATTGGCGCTACTATATTTAAAGCTATTGATATATTTATATATATATGTAAGTATGTATGTATATACCGTTATATATATGAATATATATGCATGTATAAATGAAGAAAGTTTTACATGTATTTATTTTAATATTTAGAGTAATAAAAATTTGAAATTCTATAAGATTTCTTTATAAATTGAGTACTTATTACTTTTATTTTATTAAGTAATTTATTGCATGCAAAAGAGCGTTCGCATTTGCGCCAAACTCTCGTAGTGTAACAAGTGTGATATTACTAAGCTAAAAATTGCTTTTGAATACTTTTTTCTAGTTTCGATGTTTTTGATAAAAAAACTGCTTTTTTTCATATCTTAACTATACTAAGTATATATCTGGAGACTCTTTTTTAGAATATGATAAGAAAGTGATTTAGATATTATGTATATGTATGTATATATGTCAATAGTTACTAAGTATGTAAGATTAGCTAATACAATTGGCATTATTGGAGTTATTCTTTAGCACACATCGTAATTTTCACACATACGTTTTTTTTTTTGCATGTATGTCAAACGCTTTTAGCGATACTTGTGTGTACAGCTAAATTTCAGTATTCAATAGTGATACAGAAAACCGAGTAACCGGTACCGGAGAACCGGGTCCTTTAGAGAATAACCGAAGAACGGTTCTAACGGAACCGAAACTCGATTCCAAAAGAACCAAAAAACAGTTGCGGAAAAACCGAAAGTCGATTCCGAAAGAATCGAAAAACTATTCCCGAAGAACCGAAACTCGATTTAACCCATTAATGACGAGACCCCAATTTCTTTTTATTTTGAGCTTCGCTGAACGCTCGAAACTAAACGCGATGGCTTTATTCTACTAACTGACATAAACTGAATTACGAACGGCACAAAACGATTAAAGCATTGCTCTCAAAGACATTTGCATTTGTATAAACATCAATGTTATTAAATTTTATTTTTTATTTGCCTGTGGGTTAAAAAGAACCGAAAACATTAGTAAAGAGACCTGAAAAACCACTGCAAAAGAACCGAAAGCGGATCCTACTGCCACTGTCAGCCGCGATTTCAATGCGTCAAAATACCAGCGACAACATCGAAAAAATCATGTTTTTAAATGAAAGCATCACTTTTTTTAATGAAATACTAACGTGGAAAACACGTTTTTAAATTTTATTTTTATGAAATTTTTTAAATTTTCTTTACTTTACTTTATGTCAAAAATAGAAAACAAAAATTTTATTTTCTTTTAAGTTTTTAAAATCTCTTGCTACGCTATTTCGAAAGGGCCTATTTCCGTTACCACTTTTTTGAGAACCGTAATCGGTCCAAATTCCTGGTTCTCCTTGGAAGCGGACTCGGCAGAACCGGTTTTTTAAATACTCGGGACCGCACATCACTATAATTTAATCATGATTAACTCGAATCCGATTGCATTTAATCAGATTAGGTAATTGCTAGATATCAAGGCGAAAAAGCAGACGTTAAATGATCTGATCTAAAGTACTCAAGTACATACTTTACCGACGAAAATATGTACTACCACTATAGTACTATGGTATTTAGTATATAGATGGCTAAATACTTACAAACTAAATACTTTACGATTTAGAAAAAACTAAAACCATTAACACCTTGCCTTACACTCACCTAAACTTAACTTACCACAAATCACTTCAACTAACCTCACCGCATCCCACCTCATCTAAGGTCTGCGAAGCAAATCACAGACGCATTTTATTTCTGAAAAACCGAAAATAGTCCCGAAAATTGAGGAACAGCCCCGAAAATCACACTTGCTAGAGGTAGAGCCTATTCCCATTCACCTCCAAAGACATCTACGCGACCCAGATTTACGTAAAACAACTACTGGACCTGACGGCTTACAAATAAGGTAGTTCGTAGTACCAGACACCGACATCGGAATAGACACAAAGAGACTTGGGTTTCCCCTGATCAAAGAACCAAATTAATCACATTGTGATACACGGAAGAAATACTTCGAGCACTCTGGACGAGTGTTCCATCTGACGCCTTTTGGAAATGCCAAGTGAAGCCAAGTCCTTCTGCACTTGATCTTTCCGTCGCAGAGGATGCCTTCCTCTTCCCCTGCTACCATCAGTGGGTTGCGAGTTAATTACTTTCATAGCTGTAGCGTCGGTATCCTTTCGAAAGACATGACCGGAGTCGCTGGATCTCAATTTGCAGCGCTATGTCCATGTCGTTGTAAAGCTCTTACAGCTCATCGTTTGAACGTCTGTGGTACTCGCCTTCGCCAATGCATAAAGTCGTGAACTGCATGAACCAGATGCAAAAGAAACATATTTAGCCCCTCCACTATGAATTGCGATCAAAAACTTACCCCACTTGCATGAATTTCTGCAACCGGAACCGTTTCAGTAGAGGAGCAAAAATCTACTCTGATCACTATCTTCATGTCCAAGAACGATTTTCGGGTTCCCCGGTTAAATTTTGACGTCAAGAAGCTACAGTCGCACCCTACAGCCATTTGTTACGCGACCGCCAATCGAGCGGTTCGGTGAGAGGAGGAGGAAAGAGAGGAGGAATGAGGAGAAGATAGGGAATTAATTTTCAAAAAAACCGATGGAAGGGGAAACCAGAGTCCGGCTTACCGAGTCTCCAAGCAAACCTAACTGAAGGGGGTTTAGAAGAAATGAGTTTACGGCTAAAATTTTCGAAGAGGAAGGACGAGTTATTTAAACCATGTTACATAAGCTTAAGAATGTATTAACAATAAAACGTTTTCTTTCATTGCGTAAAATCAGATAGTAATTAGCAGGGCGGACTGAATAAGGTAAAATGGCCAAGGAAATTTGTAGGAAATTTCAAATTGATTGAATTTCTTATGTGCAGATATCTTAGCTCTCCGTATAGGTAAAATTTGCATTAACCCAGCAGAAAATCTGTAATTGCTTCTTGTGTGGACAAACGAACATACATCACTAGTTTAGGATCATTTCGCGAGTAGTTCGGCACCTGCTCAGGGCTAGTTCGGGATCATTTTCGGACTGGTTCGGGAGCATATCGGGACTAGTTCGGGATCGTTTTGGGATCGTTTCGGGACCTGTTCAGGACCATTTCAGGACCATTTCGGGACCAGTTCGGAGCTACTTCCCGACTATTTGAGACCATTTTGGGAGTGGATTTGGAAAATTTCTAGACTTGTTCAGGACTATTTCTGGACTCGTTTTGGATCATTTGGGAATAAGCAGTTAAGGACGTTTTTAGTTCGCGACTGTTTGAGGACCATTCGGGATTAGTTCAGGACTATTTCGGGCTCATTTGGTACAAGTTAAGGACGATCTTTTCGGGACTAATAAGGGATCATTTCAGAACCGTTACAAGACTTGCTCGAAATCAATTCGGGACAAGTTCACGACTTTTTCGGAATCATTTCGGGTTAGCTCGAAACTATTCACGTAATGATCCTGAAATAGTCCTGAACTATTCCCGAAGTGATTATGAAAAATTCGTAATAGTTAAATTTTAACCTAATATATTTATGTATGTATGTAACGCAATCGATTAATGTATTTTCAAGCCGTCACCCTTTGATATATAAAGAAATCGGTTAGACAAACAGAAAACACTGCAATTTAGCCGTACGCACATATTTTGTTGATAACTTTTTTAGTGCCTAGGCATATATAGTATAAATACGTATCTGTATGTATGTAGTATGTAAATAAGTATAAATATAAAGTTTCTAATGCACAGCAAAATGTTATTTGGCTCTCTTCCAACCATTCTAATATGACTTCAATATCTGCCGATAATAACTAATTACGTACTAAGTATATTATGTAAATGTTTGCTATCATCTATTTTTAAAGAAAGTAACATGACCACTGTACTATTGTTGATTGCATATAGCCACGGGCTTTAGCTAAGTGTATGTATATGTATACTCTTGTAAGTTTTTGACTACAAAAGTTGTAAATTGTATGCAGATAGTTTTTCATTTAAATTTTTTTTACTTAAGTAGTTTTGAAATTGCTTGTAACATGTCTTTATATGTATTCTTACTCATGTAATTTAATATAAGTATGACTCTTCCATATATTTATTTTCAACAAATCGTATTATTCAAAAATTCATAACAACTCGGCTGACCGGGAACAGCAACAGCGGCCGCCTCATTACGTGTCTTTAAGAAATTGCCCACCCAGTGTGTAGTTAAATCTATATACTTAGTTTTGGCACCAGGATTATAGTCTAGAAATCCAGCTTTCGGAATGACCTCCTCAATTTGACTGCCATCCGGCCAGTTATTGTAGCTGGCTATATTAATGAAGCCAACGTGATTGAGAATCGCCGTACGCCAAGCGACACCATAGTACTGTAAGGAAAGTGAAGACGAATTGTTTAACGTAAATATGAAAAGTATTGGAATCGACCATTTTTGATTTCGATGAATTTGGTTCAGAACTTTTCTTTTGTCATATAACAAAACTATGCCAAAGGGAAGAAAATAAAAAAAAAATATGGAAAGTTCAAAACTTCACAATTTCCCAGATTTTACAAAGTAATTTTGTGAACAACTCAAAAACTAGTCACTAAAATGGTTCTGGCCCCTTTTTAAAAATGATATTTGGGGCTATATAAAAATATGTATATGTATGTATATATATATTAAAAAAAAAAACATGGAAAAATACAAAAACATTGCAGAAAGCTGAAATTAAAAAACTCGTAAAAGCCAAAACTTATATAAATTTTTTGCAAATTTTTTTTTATGCGATACTGATCTAAAAATGTTCCGAAATTCTCAAATGTTTTTTTAAGTTTTGAATTTTTGAGCTTTGAAAAAAGGTTTTTATTGCAAATTATAAATTAAAATTAAATTTAAATTAAATAAAAATGATTTAACATAACTTTATTTAAAGTTTGCAAACAAAAATATTTTTCAAATTTCGAAAACTCATATCCTTAAAAAAACGATCTATTGTATAAAAAATTTTACAAGTTGTTCCACTTGCGAGGATTTCATTTCATAATTCTGTTTTTTTTTTTTTGATTTTACTATTTTTGTATATATTTATTTTATAGCTCTTAATATCATCTTTAAAACTTGACCAGAACCATTTTTGCAACTATGTAATAGAGCTTTTGAGATATTAAAAAATAAATTTGCAAAATCTGAAAAATTGTGAAATTTAGAATTATGCATAACTTTCTAAAAATAAATGATTAATTATTTTCCATTGGCAAAATTTCGTTTATCATAAAGGGAAATGTTCTGACCGAAATTCATCCAATTCAAAAATGGTCGATTTGGCATGGATTGACCCATGTAGAACTTCATATTCGAAATTTCTACTTAAAAAAGTTCAATACATTGTTGGTTTAAATTCTCTAACTACGAGTATTTTCATCATGTTTGTTTTTATAAAATCTCTCACTTACCCTCCCATTACTGCGATGCCTTTGTATATCACCGTGTCGTGGAAATTTATTCCGCTCTGCAAAACCTGGTCCCACAGTTGGCACAAATAACATTTTATATGTCATTGCGAATGATTTCAAATAGGACCAATTCTTCCAGGTGCTCGCAAAGGTGGCGCCATTACTCGGCAATTTACTGTAGAAGCCTTCGAAACAAAGTCGTCGCATAATATCAACGTGGTTTTTGAGTCTGTAGAGAATATAAATGAGGAATGATTACATTTTTTAAGTGAATACATGTTTGTTTAAACTGCTGTGTTGTACGTTTCAGAATGTGGTTCGTTCAGCAAAACCGTTATTCCTATATGTATATGTATGCACATCAGTGTAAAATAAAATAATACGTTCCAGGTCGAAAAACGCACACACTAAAATATTTCAATATCAACTTTTTTTTAATTGTTATATACATAATATATGTAGTATGTATATGTACATCTGCTCCCTACATCATTATTGAGTGCTTCTGAAAATAATTACCCCTCCTAGTCCAGTGTAGATAATGAAATCATCTATAAAAACTGTTATGACACTTTCGTTATTAGGGATTACTATATCTGAGATATATCGATTCATAATTTTAGTAAAATCACACAATTAAAAGTTTCACTTCAATAATTCATTTGAATGATTAAATAAATTGAATTTATCTTTTTAAACAGGTGGCACCCCTGTTCAAACAACTCAAAAATTGTTTAATTGCTCTAACTGACGATTTATTAAAATACTTTCGTTTGACACTTACATTTTAATATTTCACTGCGACCTTTAAAACAGGT